GCAGCACAGAGCTCTGTATTGGAGCACTCGAACACCTCAACAAGGTCCGAGTCGCGGGGAAAGTCGTAGTGCGTCGTGCCCTCGAAGCCGTATGTGGTGAGTCGAAGACGTGGATGTGGCATTGTGGGCGGGACGATGGAGATTTCGAGTACGTCGCTGGTTACGTCCAGCTCAGAGAAGATCTCTCGCATGCACTCCGATCTTATGATGACTTTGCTAGCAAGTCGGCTGCCAGCAAAGTTGAAATCAAGCACTTCGAGAGCGTCCATGGTTTTCACATTGCACTCCACAATTACACCGCTATCTTCAAGACTATATCGTCAGACACAGATCAGGACCTACAGTAGGTCAAGAGTGCTACCATGATCCTTGTAGCAGAGGATTACAGAAGTGAGTGAGCTGCTGTTGTTGACACCAAATACAGATAGACAGTCCTAAAATTACTGGAAATTCGCGAACCTACAAGCAAAACGTTCAAGTTTATCTTGAATGCAATAATGGGTTGCGTAATCCTGTAGTCTTGAAACATTTCTGACTGCATGAAGGCGCTTCCCTGGACACACTTTGCATCTTCAACGGTAACCTTTATTCCATGCTTAGAAATAAAGATTGTCGAGACCTATATGTTGCTATTTGAATTATCGGTCACTTACATCACGAAAATGCACTGCCTTAAGTAAGTTAATACATCCCCGTACATTGTCTGTTTTGGCGTAGACTAGCGGACCATCACACGCAGAGGAAAAACGCATAACCCAAGTTGCGGAATTGACCGCAGCCAGTGGCTCGCATCAAAGGCCGTGAAATGTAGAAATACGGTAAATAATTCACGAGGGATTTGAGGTAAGCACAACCAGATTCGCAGTTTTATTTATGTGAAATCATTTGTTTAGTTATAAAGGATCCAAATACAAACTTGCTATTTATTCCTTTAATGAACTATAAAGACCGGGTAAGTAAATAGAAGGAAAGGCGAGAGATATTCGAGGCCATTCTTGCCAGCTTTGTACTTAGAGGGACAAATGCTTTGTTTACTGTGACATTCCCATTGTGATGCTTTACTTATGTGACCACATGGCGTTTGGCGGTCACTTTAGGATTTGTCTGGTCCTTGTACACGTGGGCTGGCCTTCAAGCCATGCCCAGGCCCATTTGTCCTGTCGTC